GGCAGGTGCCTATAGTCCCAGCTATTTGGGAGACTGAGGCAAGAGAATCACTTAAACCTAGGAGTTTGAGGTTACTGTGAGCTGTGACGCCACAGCACTCTACCGAGGGGAACACAGTGAGACTCTGTCTCAAAAATAAAAAAGAAGAAAAGAAAATTAATAGTGATCATTTATGAGGCCATGTGTGGTGACTCATGCCTGTAATCCTACCACTTTGGGAGGCCAAGGTTGGTGGACTGCTTGAGCTCAGGAGATAGAGACCAACCTGAGCAAGAGTGAGACCCTGTTTCAACTAAAAATATAAAAAGTAGCCAGATGTTGTGGCGAGTGCCTGCATTCCCAGCTACTCAGAAGGTTGAGGCAGGGAGATTGCTTGGACCCAAGGATTTGAGGCTCAGTGAGCTATGATGACACCACTGTGCTTTAGCCTGAGGAACAAAGAAGACCATGGCTCTTAAAAACAAAAACAAAACACAACTCCTCAGGAAAATGAGTCCAAATAATACAAAGATGTGAGTATGTTTGCAGGAGGATAAGATGGAGTATAACTACAGGAACAAGGTCACCCTGACTCTGACCCTGTTCCCCAGGGGCTGCACGGACATCATTTGCTGTGTGTTCCTCCTCCTGGCCATTGTGGGCTATGTGGCTGTGGGCATCATAGGTGAGTGGAAGACTGGGTAAGACTTAAAGTTCCAGGGTAGGAGGTGGCAACCAAGGACTTGGTGGAAGGGGTGGGGCTGGTGCTGAGGAGTGTCAGTGCCTTAGCACCCCTGGATTCCTCCACAGCCTGGACCCACGGAGACCCTCGGAAAGTGATCTATCCTACTGATAGCCGGGGCGAGTTCTGCGGGCAAAAGGGCACGAAAAATGCGTGAGTCCAACTCATTGAGGCCTGGGGGCTGGAGAAGGTTCTAGGTTTCTCCAACTCTATCCATCTAAGAGTCCACCCAAAAAAGTACTAAAATCCCTACCACTTGCCAGCTACTATTCTAGATCTTGGGAACACAGCACAAAAAGAGACATTAAGCATCCTGTCTTCTGGCAGCTCACATTGTAAGAGAGACACAGAGCGAAGACAGATCTGATATCAGGTGGTGATAGAGTTCAATCTGGGTGGTGTCACTACCTGCCTTTGTGACGTAGGACAAGTGTCTCAACTTCTCTGAGCCTCATTTTCTTCACCTATAAAATGAGGATTGCCTGGCGTGGTAACTCATGCCTGTAATCTCAACACTTCAGGAGGCTAAAGTGGGAGGATCACTTTGAGTCCAGGAATTCAAGACCAGCCTAGGAAACATAGGGAGACCCTATCTCAACAAACGAAATTAAAAATCAAAAAATTAACTGGGTGGGATACTGTATAGCTGTATTCACAGCTACTTAGGGGGCTGAAATGGGAGGATTGCTTGAGCCCAAGAATTAGAGGTTAAGGTGAGTGATGATAATACTACTGGATGCCAGCCTGGATGACAGAGCAAAGCACTGTATCAAAAAGAAAAAGAGGGCAGTGCCTATGGCTCAGTGAGTAGGGCACCAGCCCCATATACTGAGGATGGAGGGTTCGAACCCAGCCCCAGCCAAACTGCAACAAAAAAATAGCCAGGTGTTGTGGCGGGCACCTATAGTCCCAGCTACTCAGTAGGCTGACGCAAGAGAATTGCCTAAGCGCAAGAGCCAGAGGTTACTGTGAGCTATGATACCATAGCACTCTGCCAAGGACAACAAAGTGAGACTCTGTCCCTAAAAAAGAAAAAAGAAAGAAAAAGAGAACTGGGTGTTGTGGCAGACACCTGTAGTCCCAGCTACTTGGGAGGCTGAGGCAAGAGAATCGCTTAAACTCAAGAGTTTGAGGTTGCGGTGAGCTATGACGCCAGGGCACTCTACCAAGGGCAACATAGTGAGACTGTCTCAAAAAAAGAAAAGAAAAGAAAAAGAGGCCAGGCACAGTGGCTCATGCCTGTAATTCTAGCACACTAGGAAGCTGAGGTGGGTGGATTGCTTGAATCATAGGTTTGAGACCAGCCTGAGCAAGAGCAAAACTCCGATCTCTAAAAATAGCCAGGCATTATGGTGGGTGCCTGGTGTCCCAGCTACTTAGGAGGCTGAGGCAAGAGAATCATTTGAGTACTTGAGTTTAAGATTGCTATGAGCGGCTCAGCGCCTATAGCTCAACCAGCTAA